TGTACTCAAAGTAAGAAAGTAAAAAGTAGCTCTTTGAAGGACCTTTCTACCAGCTATTTTTGTGCTAAGCTAACTGAACCTTGTATTATACTAATGTAATTATAAAATAATATTAGTACATAGAAATACAAACTTTATTTCATTCTACATTGTATTTCTAATAAGGGTACTCAGAGTATAAAAAAATATCACTATTTTCTGTTTCCTCCATTGTAGAGAGTGACTTTGCCTCTAAACTAGAAAATTTCCATCTTTGAGTGAAGTTAGCTCTTTCTTTTCTCTCCCTGCTGGACCTTTAATCAGAATCAGAATAACTTTATTGTCATTGTCACAGGTACAACAAAATTAAAAGTGGTCCCCGATCAGTGCATCTAGCAACACGCTGTGTTTGTTTCAAAATGTAGGGAGTGAAAGTAAAAAGTTGTCAGAAAAAAGACCTACTCAAGTAAAGTACAGGTACCTGAAAATTCTACTTAAGTACAGTAACGAAGTATTTGTACTTTGTTTCTTCCCCCCTCTGTCGCTGTCAGTATATTATGGAAGAGACTCATTTATATTACTGTAAATGTAATTTGAAATATTTCTCTGGTTTCCTTCCCTCAGAGTTGTAACAAAGCTTTGATGAAGCTGAGACTAAAGAAGACAGCGGTAGATGACATCTCAGACGGTTTGCGTCAAGCTGGGGGGAAACTGAACTTTGATGAACTCCGTCAGGATCTAAAAGGGTGAGGAAACTCTATAATTTTGTTAAAATCCCTCAGAGTTGTTGTGCTCAGTTTGTTGAATATAACACTCATGCAGCCTGTCTTCAGTGTGTACTGTCTCTGAATTTGATTAGAAAGGGTCACACAGATGCAGAGATTCAGGCCATCTTTGCCAAATACGATCAGGATGGTGATCAGGAGCTGACGGAGCATGAACACCAGCAAATGAGAGATGACCTGGAGAAAGAAAGAGTGAGTGAAGCCACAAGCTTTTATTTTCACCATTTGGTAAAACAAGAAAAGAGTGTTATTTCAGTAACTGATCGGACAATCTGCACATAAGGGCAACAGTGCAGCCACAACAGCAGATGTTCAGTGTGTCTCTGCTCATACGCTAGGAGGACTTGGATCTGGAACGCAGTTCGCTGACTCGACCCAGCAGTGGGCGGAGCTTCCCTCGTACCCAGGATGACTCAGAGGAGGACGACGATGAGGACAGTGGTCACAGCTCTCGACGTCGTGGCAGCAGCTCTGGGGGCGCCTCGTATGAGGAGTTTCAAGTGTATGAAGTTTTTTTTCCTTCCTCAGATTTATCAGTAAATGATATTTAAAGAGATAATAATAATAAATAAACTGCTGGGCAGACTCAGTCGGTAGAGAAAGGACCATGGTGATAACTGGATGTAAGCATGGAATGAAGTCTAATTGATGACAGTTATTGGTGATTGTGAAACACTGGAACATCCTGAAGTATAGGTTAAACTTGTGCTGCATGAAAACATTTTGTCAGGAACAAATAATTATTTTTTAAATATATTTTTTAAATATTAATGAACACATAGTCATGACAGATTTCCTGAGACTGTTGGACAGACTAAAGACGAAGTTTATTGTCAATTCCAGAAACTAAAAAAACAACAACAAGCTGCAAGTTCAAGTTTAGATCTAAGGACTTTAAACCAGAGTCCAGATTTATTACAGATTTGTTAACTGTCAGTATTTATTATAGTAAGTTAAATATTTCTTTGTAACAGTAGCTGTGTCTGTCAGTGAACTACAACTCTACTGTATTAAATTTATGTGGTTGATGACAATAAATAGATATAAATCAGGCATAACATAATAACCAGATGCCTAATATTGTGCCCCCCTATTGAGACATGCACTCCAATAGACCCCTAAAGGTGTGGTGTGGTATCTGCAAATTCGTTATGTTCTGTTAGTCACGAGGTGTAGCCTCCATGAATCGGAGTACTTTGTCTAGCACATCCCACAAATGCTTGATTGGACTGAGATCTGGGGAATTAACTTATTCAGTAATTTGAGCTATAGTAGCTCATCTGCTGGATCAGATCACACCACATGCATCGGGCCAGCCTTCACTCCCCACATGCATCATTTTGGCCTTACCATCTATCATCCTGTCACTGGTTCACATTGGGCCACTTTTGATAGTTACTGACCACTGCAGACCAGGAACACATCACAAGAGCTGCAGTTTTTGTCCAGCTTGTCCCTTGTCAGACTCACTCATATCTTTATGCTTGGCTATTTTTTGTGCTTCTAACACGTCAACTCTGAGGACAAAATGTTCACTTCCTCCCTAATATATCCCACCCACTAACAGGGGCCATGATAAAGAAATGCCTGATCGGTGTATATGCAGCACTGGACATTAGCGAAACTGCATCTGTATTACTGCAGATGTGTTACCATCGTCCCTTTGCATATCTGCCAACACGTGCTGTACACAAAGACTGATAATGTAATAATGATTTAATTTTGTCATCAGCTAATGTTGGCAGGCAAAAATGGGTATTGTGTGTCACGTCGTAGTTTTTCACGCTGTTCTGAGTGATAGCAGCTACAGCGCTATATGACATTTAACAACAAGAGAGAAAATCATTCTTTGTTGTGCAGGCTGGTGAGACGCGTGGACAGGATGGAGCACTCTATCGGCAGCATAGTGTCAAAGATCGATTCAGTGATTGTCAAGCTGGAAGTTATGGAGAGAGCTAATCTTAAAAGAAGAGACGTGGTGAGCAGGCTGCTGGATGGAGTCATGGAGGTGAGGTGTTAATATGTTATTAATAATAATAATGGATTGTGACTGAATTGCACCCTGCAGCTCCCCTCAGTTGAGTTTTAAAACTATTCTAGCTTTTGGGGTTATTAGGTATTTTTTATTGTTTGGTTCATCACTCTCAGAGACAGTCACTCCCTTGAACAGTGATGAACACTGTGGTGAACACTATCGAACATTTAGGATTTAAGCAAGAGTCTTTTTTTAAATACTTGCCTTACATTCAAGAAGAAGCTCAGAATGAGTTATTATAAGTTAACTGGATAAACTCATGAGATGAATACGTGTGGGTCGAGCTGACGTTAACATCGTTTGACATTTAATCTGTTTCCGTTTGTCAGGATGAACATCTGGGGCGGGACACAGACACACACAGGGAGCAGATGGAGAGGCTCGTCAGGGAGGAACTGGAGCGTTGGGAGTCCGATGATATGGTCTCACAGGTCAGCCACCCACAGCCGGCCACTCCTGTTGGCCCGCGGCCTCGCCCTTCCTCGTCCTTGTCCACCGACGGCCTCGACACAGGCGTGAATGGGAGCGGCCATGTGTGAAGACTTGGCATGCTGAACTCTGCAAAGAAACTTTATTGGATCCTAACTTAATATGTGGGTCTTTGTTTTGCAGCAGAATGTGCTAAAGCTCATGGAAGGTGTTTAACTTACTCGACATATTAGAGAGGAAGTCAAATGCACCTCACCTGGTATACACAAATGCACTGAAAGAGAGAGGCTGTCACATGCAAAGGGTCTTTACTCAGTCTCACGTATTATTTTGACAGATGACGAAAGGTAAACAAAACAGACAAGGTGCTGAGGAGCAGTGAAGGATTTAATCATTACACCACAGTATTACACACGCATGTACCAGCGAGCAAGTATATTCAGAATTCAGTGTATGATTTTAATATTACATGCTTTCGATCGCTGTATGCACAATTATTAGCATTTACACAAAAGGCCTTTCTATGAATAATAATGTTGCTGATTACTTTTTTCATCATTTTAATATGCAGTAGGTACAAGCGTGGCACTTCCTGTCACATTTACTCATCCTTCCGATGAATTAGCTTATCGTTTTATGATACATATTGTAACTTTAAACAAACTTCGATTTGGAGTGCATCCAGTGTTCATGGGAAACCCATGCATTATTTTTCCTGTGGCTTTTTTTTTTTTAATCTGTTGTGCCAAATAAAGTGTTACCAAAATACATCAGGGGGACTTTACTTGGTTTTATCTCACTTTACAAGAAAACATATATATAAAAAGAGAGAGAAATCACATATTATTATATACAGTGTTACAGATGAGTCATTATTTCAAAGCAGAATCAAATAATAGACATACTGTCTACTGATCTGAACAGAAAATAAACTGCACCCACAAACTTCCCTGAGACTGGTTCTGTTGGAGGTTTCTTCCTGTTAAAAGGGAGTTTTTCCTTTCCACTGTCTCCAAGTGTTTCTCATAGACGGTAATGTGATTATTGGGTTTTCCTTGTATTATTTGTAGGTCTTTACCATACAAATTAAAGCGCTTTGGGGAAACTGTTGTTGTGATTTGGTGCTATATAAATAAAATTTCTGAAAACTGAAAAGTAGGCCAAAAGTCATTTTGGATTTGTCTAAGAACGAGAAAGTTTAGATGCAGCAGTTTTAGTACATTGACATTTATTTGCAAATGATGTTAAATTAAAAGATATTTTACACATTTTAAGGTTTTCAGTAACCAAAATTTGGTTTGTACTTTAAATTTTTTCCATATACACTGATTTAAAGTTACGCAAAAAGTCCTTTCTGTGAATGCTAATTTCCTAAGTTTCTAAGTTTCCCAAGAGCTATTTACTCTGGTATAAAATCTTAGCGCAAAATATATGTTTCTTATTTCAGGAGAATTTATATCATGGTTTTGGTGTGTGGTAACTACACTAAGGTTTATAACTGTATTAATAATAATTAATGCATTAATAATAATAATAAAAAAACACAAGACCAAAAGTTACATGAAAATCTTTATACATGGTATGAAAAAACTAACAGAGTATAAATGTATTACAGAGTTTTGCTTTGGAAAACAGATAAAGCCATGATGTAATGCTTCAATTGCAAATGATCAGCTTTTAATTATATTATGAAAAATTAATAGCACAATTAAATAAGTATAATTTGGAAACTTTAATCAAAACAACAACTGGGTTACAAAGGTATTGGGAAAAAGTCACAAACTGACAAATGCTGCAGAAGTAAATATTCATAAACAGCTTTGAAAGTTTACTTTGAGGCCAGTATACTTTTTAATTTCTACACTTTTTCACTTTGGAAAATTCACAATTTTCTCCTATAATTTGAAAATATACTGTCTAGTTTGTTTTGGACTCACAATTTTTTATACCCACAAAGATTTTATCCAGACTAAACGTATATAACAGTAAACAAAGGAACCAACAACTAGATTTTGATATTTTGGGAAACAGCCATACTTGCTTACTTGGTATACTGGTATACTTTTATATCTACACAATAAATACACACACTGGCATCTCCACTAGGTTGCTAGTACTGGGTTGGACCCCTTTTGCCTTCAGAGCTGCTTTAATTCTTTGTTGGGGAGATTTAAAAAAGAGCTGGACATTTTCCTCACAGACTGACATGATAGCATCACACAGCTGCTGCATATTTGTCAGCTCACATCAATCTCCCATTCCACCACATCCCAAATATAGTGTACTGGATTCAGATCTGCTGACTGTAGAGGTCATTCGAGCACAGTGAACTCCCTGTCATGTTAAAGAAACCAGTTTGAGAGGATTTGAGTTTTGTGATATGGTGTGTTATCCTGCCTGAAGCAGCCATCAGAAGATGGGTACACTGTGATCCAAAAGGGACAGGGTGAGCAACACAGGTAGGCTGTGATATGGTCTTCTGCTGCTGTAGTCCACCTGCTTCAAGGTTTGTCGTGTATTTACAGATGCTCTTCTGTACACTTTGATTTTAACAAGTTGGATATTGTTGAATGTCTGACCTCTGCGATCAAGAAGGCATTTTCACTCAGAGACCTGCTGCTCAATAGATATTTTCTATTTTTTCTGACTTTTTTCTGTAAACTCTAGAGATAGTTGTGTGTGGAAAATCCCAGTAGATCAGTAGCTTCAGAAACACTCAAACTTATCCATTTAGTACCAAAAACCATTTCATGTTCAAGTTAAATCACCTTTCCTCTATATTCTGATGCTCTGTTTGAACTTTAGCAGGTCATCTTGTTCATGTCTGCATGCATCAATGCATTGAGTCGCTACCACGTGATTGATTAGGACAACCTTAATCAGTATTTTTATTCATCTTTAGGCATGAAAAAAAGATTTTTGAACTTCATTTTTTAAACGTGTATTTTTCAAATAGTTTTTTACATGTCCGCTTAAGTGGACAACATCACCTTTAGAGTGAGTGGCAGGGTATGGAGTGACACATCAGTATCCAATGTAGTGGTTTATGTGCAAGTGTACCATCAACACTGATATGAATACAAGAAAACAGTGTTTGAATAGCTGTCCACTGTAGTGACCACTATGCGTAAAAGGGTTAATGAACAGCTGAACACAACACACAATAAGATTTTATGAGCTTTACAGGGAAACTAATGGTAAAAACGTGAACTCTAGAAAAGTTTAGCTGGCAGTTTTCGGCTGCTTTCAGCTTTTTATTTCAGCATTTGCACTTGTACTCTAACTTTCTTTTAGCTTCATTATATGCTAAAGATATGAGGGCAGTGTAAAATAAAACTAAACCCCCAATATATAAATGTAGCTTTAATTGTGCTATTTCTGAGCACAAGATCTATCAGTGCTGGTACATTAAAGTAAAAAACAAATAACGCATTAAGTAAATTTCTTGATGAAGCGAAGCTTCAGATAGGCAATGATGAGAAATATGATCATCATAACAGTCAAAGCTACATGATTCTCCCACAGACCCCAGGAGGTGTAGTCTATGCCCAGGTACTCCAGATACTGCTCTCCTGTGCATCTGAAATGAGGCATGTTCAAACTGGTCAGATATTAGAGCCACAATACAACATGTTGTTAACCAGTAAGACAGAACTGGATCAATTACTCACGTCTGGCCAGCTGTTTTCCCAGTGCAGTTGGCTGTCATAGCTGACATGTTGCTGTTTCGGATTACAACCTCTTCGCAGAACCTCAGACCCACAAATTCGTTTATCTTCAAGGCCTGAACAAAGACAGCAGGTGAGGCAGAGCAGTAAACCCTTAGCAGAACAATTTAAATACAATATGGTGCGTTTGGCAGATCATTTGTTCCATTTTAAAACAATAAATGTAATGTTGCTATTCTCTTTTGGGTCTTAACTCCCTTTTCACGTATATGTTGCCATATAAAGTAACTTCCTGTTTTATTTTTAAAGTCTCTTGTCTCTTACATGCTGTCTTTAGCTGTGCTTGTGGTCAGTTGGTCCCTAGTTTGTTGGCCTTAATCCTCTCCTTTGAGTTTGGCTCCATCTTCAAACATGACAGTTACTGTACATGGGGTTTTTAAAGTGCATTATCAGTAGGCTATCCACTTGGTCGTGTATGTTTGGTATAACGTGCAGCACCCAACAGTTAAAATCAGAGAAGTCTGTTTAAGTCTATGCATTCAGCCATCTAACATCAAGTTTAGAGTCCAGTTCAGGTCCAACCCCAGTTCAATAAAAACACACTTACAGACAATTAAAACTAAAACTGCTAAAACATATATGTGAAGGAGGTTGTCTGTGATATGTATTTATTTCATTGAGGTGATAACCTCTGTCTGAATTTTGAATTGTTTCTGCTACTTTCTCTATATATCTGCATCTTCTGCTGTCAAAACCTTTAATGCTGACTTACTGCAAGACCATAACGAGGAATACTAAAGTACTTCAGCCAAGCCAACCAGTCTTTGGTGCTGGGTAGATTCACCAGGAGTCCTGAAAAAATCTAGAAGACACAAAGTCAGTTTAGATGTCTTTTTTCTGGAGGGTAGAGCTGACATAACACGACTTACAAACACATCTAAATGTTTCAAAGTCCAGATGCAGGATGTTATTAGTCTCACGGGAGCTTTTACTATCAGACAGTAAAACATAGATGAATAACTGTCTATTGTTCATTATAATATACGGATAATATAATATATCTGTGTTGCTTTTAGAGACTTAGTCAGATATAGATTCAATAGTCAATGTTTTCTGGGAAATTTTGCTATTGATTATGAAATCAATCAACAATCATTTATAATGCACTTACTGGCCACTTCATTAGGCATTGCCGTTCTTATACTTAATTTGTCAACCCTGTAGTAGCAACTTGGTGCATTTAAGCAAGTACACAAGGTCAAGAAGACCTGCTGAAGTTCAAACTGAGCATCAGAATGGGAAAGAAAGGTGATTGAAGTGAATTTTTACCCACACAGCAATCTCAAAAAAGGAGAAAATATCCAGTGGATGGCAGGTCTGGGTGAAAATGCTTTGTTGATGCCAAAAATAAAAGCAGGCAACATTAACCAACTCGTGACAGTCAAAGTGTGCAGAAGAGTATCTCTGAATGCACAACACATCAAACCTTGAATAAGACCACACCCCAGCATAGCCGAGGATTGTTGCTGACCATCTCCATCCATTTATAACTACATCTGATGTTAAAGTGACCAGGGAGTTTATGTCATCAGTGAGTCTTCTGTTTAAAATGTTTCATTTGTTTTTTTTAAAAACCCTGAAGCTACCTAAAACAAAAAATGTAGATGTTATCTTTACTCCTTCTCCCTTCCAACTTATTTATGTGGGTCATGGGGTTGCTGTATCTCTTACCATCATGAAGACAAAGGTGATGGTCATGAGGATGTTGGCAAGAGCCACGACACTCTGGTCAGCTGAGATGGCCATGGTCATGGCTGTGGCTGTGTAGGCCACCAGAGTCACCGTCAGCATGAAGACAAAAAAGGCTTCTGCTGTGGATTTGAGCCCTGGTTGGACACACAGTTTTGTGCGCTTTTACACACTGATGTCTTTTCTTTTTTTTTTAATTTAAATGCAAAAATTAAAATAGTTAAATAGATAAAAGTCTCACCAATCAAAAAATAGACAACACAGCTGAAGATAACAGAGGTGACGGTGCGCAGAGCGATATCAGACAGGATCTTAGAAAGGAAGTAGACAGACACTCTGTAGTAGCCACTGATGTACTCGTGCCTGTCACAAGAGAAACACATAAAGCAACAGTTCAATCTAGAGTCACACACACACGTATACGGCGTCCTGATGGAGAACTTACACGAAGAGTTTCCTCTCAGTGATGAAGAGCTCGGCTGCAGACACAGTACTGAAACACTGGTTGGTAGTGATGAAGAAGAGGGCGCCCATCCTGGAGCAATCAGAAAAGCAAAAGTGTTTTTCTTTGTACGTATTATTGTAGGGTCTACCTTGGAATATGAAGTGCTTTGAGGCAACTGTTTTTGTAATTTGGTGCTGTATAAATAAAGTTGAAATTGGAACCTCTCGGACAGAACAACACTTAAAGTGCACGCTATACTCAAAAAGAGACTGCACAGATAAGACCTGTATAGGATGCTTGCCAGGAAAAGTCTTAGAAAAAAAATAACATGAGATTCCAACCTGTCAATCAACACAGAAGCAAAGACACAGCTCTGTGCAAAAGTCTTGAGCCACTCCTCATTTCCTTATATTTTGCCTTCAAAGAGCCAGAGTTTTTTTTTTTTTTTCAATATATTTTTATTGATTTTATAATTGAGCAGCATACAATAATCACCTTCAAAAGAACACAATAGAAGGTGGACGGCAAGTCAACAAGGTGGTAATACAGCATACATAAATGTTAAGACAGAGTATATTTCAC